AAGGGTCCCAGGTTCGATTCCGGTCAAGGGCATGTACATGGGTTGCGGGCACATCCCCAGTGGGGAGTGTGCAGGAGACAGCTGATCGATGTTTCTCTCTCATCGATGTTTTTAACTCTCTATCTCTCTCCCTTCCTCTCTGTAAAAAAATCAATAAAATATATATTAAAAAAAAATCTTCCATGTGCCCAGCCATTGTTGCTCAGTGGTTGAGTATTGACCTTTGAACCAGGAGGTCACAGTTCAATTCCCAGTCAGAGCACATGCCTGGGACATGCAGCGATCAATGATTCTCTGTCATCATTGATGTTTCTACTCTCTCTCTTCCTCTCTGAAATCAATTAAAAATATATTTAAATACATATATATTTTAAAATCTTTCATGTTATTACATTATTTTGATTATACATTTTCTAATTTGATGACACTCTTTTAAACACCTCCAGCTGAGTTTGGCCTGCTCGGCCAGAGCGGCTCACTCAGTGCCTTTGGTTTATTTGTTTAATCCTCATGTGAGGATATTTTTTCCATTAATTTTTTAGAGAGTGGAATCTAGGAAGGGATGAGTGGATGGGAGAGAGATTAACATTGATGTGAGAGAGACACATTGACTAGTTATGTTCCACACACACCCTGACTAGGTCTAGGGATTGAACCTGCAACCCAGGTACGTGCCCTTGATCTGAAATCAAACCGGCTTTGGTTCAAGGGCAAGTACTCTAACTACTGACCCATACTGGCCATGGCTGTGATCACTTTTAAAGAGCATTGGAAGGCTATAAACTTAATTTTCATCATTATTTTATTAAATAGAATTAGTAAAATGTCTATGTGAAACAAAATGTTTATTCATATGTATATGCTATTCTTTAAATTTCTTTGTTTTCCTTACAGGGTTTCAAACAAAATCAAAAAGAAGGAAGGTGCTCACATTTTAATTAAGGAGTAAGTATGCCATTATTATAGAAGAGAAATCTTTTGTATAAATTTTATAGTTTGTGGAAAACATATTTTTTAAAAATGTTAAAATGTAGAAAAGTTAATATAAAACAATATTGAAGACATTTTGATGCCAAAGCTATTTGATAAAAGGTTTATCTATATCCCCTCTAGAATTGTTATGATATCAAGGTATCTATCATCTCCTCAAATACTTGCTGGTTGGTGGTGTGGAAATAAAAACATCCTTGCCCTAGCCAGTTTGGCTCTGTAGACAGAGCGTTGGTCTGCAGACTGAAGGGTCCCAGGTTCGATTCTGGTCAAGGGCACGTGCCCAGGTTGCAGGCTTGATCCCCAGGAGGGGACATGCAGGAGGCAGCCGACCAGTGATTCTCTCTCATCATTGATGTTTCTAGCTCTCCTTCTCCCTTCCTCTCTGAAATCAATAAAAATATATTTTAAAAAAGAAAAACATACTTTTCAATAAAGAGATCCTTAGAATCAGTGGTAAAACTGCATCACTGTGGTCAGACAGCCAGATGTACTTTTTTAAAATATATTTTTATTGATTTCAGAGTGGAAGGGAGAGGGAGAGAGAGATAGAAGCATCAATGATGAGAGAGAATCACTGATCGGCTGCCTCCTGCATGCCCCCTCCTGGGGATCAAGCCCGCAACCCAGCATATGCCCTTGACTGGAATCGAACCCAGAACCCTTCAGTCCGCAGGCTGATGCTCTATCCACTGAACCAAACCAGCTAGGGCTGTATTTTTTTCACATATTACTTCACACTTTTGATTCATATTCACCTATATTTTTATGTGGATGCCATCATTGTGTGTGTGTGTGTGTGTGCCCACTTAACATTACATTTTTTAAAATTTTTTATTTATTGAAATGAGAGAGAGATCAAAATACTGGTTTGTTGTTCCACCCATTTATGCATGCATTAGTTGGTTCTTGGATGTGCCCTGAGGATTGAACCCACAACCTTGGCATATTGGGACTGTGCCCTAACAAACTAAGCTACCCAGCCAGGGCCAACATCACCTTTTTTATTTTTTAAGATTTTATATTGATTTTTATAGAGAGAAGAAGAGAGAGGGAGGGAGGGAGAGAAACATCAATGTGAGAGTGACAGATCAATCTGCTGCCTCCTGCATGCCCCCTACCAATCCTAGTTGTAGAATTTCCACTCAGCCAGCCCTCCTGTGGCTCTGGACGTTGTCCTTTCCCTGGATCAAGCTTAATTTGACTTAGTTGTTCCAGGCAGCAATCTCTGGTGTTAACCTATGCCGCCATCTTCGGTTCTCTTCCATATTTTCGTTTTGATTTTCAAAATGGGAGATGCATTTCTGGGCGGGGTATTTTTTAAATTACATACATCACATTTGAAAGTAAAATTACTCAGGGAGGCAAAGAGGAGGAACATCTGTAGTCATTTCAACAATAAGATTAAGATATAATAAATGATAATTGCCTATATTTTATTGTTTGATTAAAGTCATTTTTTATTTCATTGATGTTGTTCTTCAGCTAGGTCAGTGGTTGGCAAACCGTGGCTCGCGAGCCACATGCGGCTCTTTGACCCCTTGAGTGTGGCTCTTCCACAAACTACCACGTGCAGGCGCGCACGTACAGTGCGATTGAAACTTCATGGCCCATGCACAGAAGTCGGTTTTCGGCCTGGGCGAAACAAGTATACAAGACGAGTGTGGATGGGAGAGTTGGAAGGGGTCAACCTCAGCGAACGTACCTCAATCAGATTGAGGACGTTTTTAGCAAAGGCCAGCTTAGGAGTACCCTAATTAAGTTAATAACAATGTACCTACCTATATAGTTTAAGTTTAAAAAATTTGGCTCTCAAAAGAAATTTCAATCATACTGTTGATATTTGGCTCTGTTGACTAATGAGTTTGCCGACTACTGAGCTAGGTTGTTGAGCCAAGTCTAAAAGGGTGAAGAGAAAAATTAGGCAGGGGATGAAATGGGTTAAAGTCTTCTAGACAGAACGTATACAAAGCCTTCAGAGGCATGTATATTTCAAGGCCCAAGCTAGCTCAAATGTCCTAATGCCAGTCAGCGTTCTTATCTCCCCATTTGTATAATTTTCCCTCTTTGAATCTGCTCTCTACTTGTTTCTATTACATATCTTTTCTCATTTTGTTATCTTTATATATTTCTTTCCTCTGTCAATAGAGGCAAGGCGCTGCATCTCATTCTTTATGTCTACAATATCTGGCACAGTTTTCTGCTTAAAGAGCATAGGATGGAGAAAGATTAAGCATCAGCTCTATTTTTTGTTAGCTTAAATAAGACTTTTATTTATAGCAAATCCTGCAAGTAGATGAATGGTTTTGAAAGTTAATTGTAAGGGAATATATGTAACATTTTTTAAAAATATATTTTATTGATTTTTTTTACAGAGAGGAAGGGAGATAGATCAGCTGCCTCCTGCACATCTCCTACTGGGAATGTGCCTGCAACCAAGGTACATGCCCTTGACCAGAATTGAAACTGGGACCTTTCAGTTTGCAGGCCAACGCTCTATCCACTGAGCCAAACCAGTTAGGGCTATATGTAACATTTTGAAGATAGCAATTAATATAATTGGAATAGCTTTTGGATAAACTAATCTTTGAGGTTTGAAATTCTGATTTTTTTCATTACTAGTTATTGTAACATAAATTGACTTTGCACATTTTAAAATGGTGTATAATTGTGCGTTGAACTATAGCCCATCTTACCTAATAAAGAAGGAATATGCAAATTGACCATCACTCCATAACGGTCAAGGTGGCTGCACCCACAGTAAAGGCAGAGATTCCGTAGCACAAGATGGCTGTGCTGGGAGGCCAGGTTCCCATAACGAGCCTTAATGAGCAATCAGCAGGGACCTGAGGCTGTGACCCCCGCCTGGTGGGGCTTGACAGGACCTCAGGCTGCGCCCCCCGCCCTGCACCGGGCCAGGATGGGGGACCTGAGGGTGTGCTGGGGGACCTGAGACTGCGCCCCCCACCCGGCACCGGGCCAGGGGACCTGAGGCTGCGCGCCCCCCACCTGGCAGGGCTTGACAAGGGTCAGGTCAGCCAGGTCTGGATCTTGCCCAATGGGGGTGGGGCCAGCTGGGGCTGGGTCTTGGCATTGTATCAGTGTTTTATATCATGTCTTTGTTGTTGTTATATTATGTTGTTATGATTTATAGACTCTGACGAGGAAGATTGTCATACACATTTTACTAATTTTCTTTCATCTCTGACACACATATTATAGAGAAAGGGCAAATAGCAATATTAAAATATTTCCTCTAATTAATGCCCTTTTAATGTGCATGAATTTCATGTACTGGGCCACTAGTTTTAAATAAAACCAGTTCTTGGTTTCCAGGCAGAAGACAGAGGTGAAGCAGTGTATCTGAGTATTATTGAGTCTTTGTGTTTACATAAAGACTCCTGGTTAAGAGTAAAAAAAATCTTACTTTATAAATCTTGGTTTCAGTAGACTCTTAGGTATCTATTAATTTGCGTTTTTATTATACAGGAAACTAGAAACTGCCATGTGAAATTTTTCTTTAATAATTTTTTTGAGTCGTTACTGTGTGTGCTAGAGGTAGATATTTTATTTAATCCATATAGCACCATCAAGTTAGATAATTATTCCCATTTTACACAGATGAGAAAGGCTCATAGAGGTAAAATGACTTGCGTTGGGCCACACAGCAAATGAGGGAACTCTGTATGTACCACCTCAGAATTCTCCATTCAGCTCTCAGTCCCCTACATCCCCACCCCAGCAACTGATTCTTCCAGGCTTTGTGGAATTTTGTCCCATGTATACATAATTTAGGATTTGGTCAAGGACCTAAATGGAAATCCTATACAAATTTCTGGAGGTCCTCCTCTTCAAATCACTCTTTAGACTTGCATCTTCAAATTCCAGCTGCCTTATTCCAAGACCCAAACTACAATCTATTTCTTCCACCCAAGAACAATACTCTTTGCTCAAGTTTCACTTTCCATGCTGCAATTTGAAAATTGTGTCCAGCCAAAAAAGGGGTGAAAGTGAAGTTCACCTTATGTGTTTCCCTTTCTCAAGGATTTCAGCCCTATACAATGTATTGTCCAGTGCCTGAAAACAATTGTGTCATACAGGGTGGGGCAAAAGTAGGTTTACCGTTGTGAGTATGCAAAAGTTTATTCGTATATTATTACTTACTAGAGGCCCGTTGCAGGAAGATTCCTGCAAGAATAGGGCTTCCTCAGGCCGATCGTGCAGCCAAGCCCCGCTGCCCAGGGCTGCACACAGGGGTCCTGGCTGGCAGTGGGGCTTAGGTGGCACATGGGGGCCCAGATGGCGGCTGGCGCTTGTCCGCCCTGCCTGCAGTATGCAAATTAGCCGCCATCTTTGTTTGTAGTTAATTTGCATATCACGCTGATTGGCTGATGGGTGTAGCGAAGGTATGGTCTTGTATAGAATGGATAGGATTGGGACCAAATAGTATAAATACAGATGTTAGATGACAATAAGGAGAAGAACCTGGCTATGATGATCACCTAAACACTGACTCCGTGTCCTTCATTCTTCGCTGACTCCATCCACACCTTTGGGAACCCCTGGACCCGCTGGGGCTGGACCCAGCAGTCGATTAGCATCTTTGCCTTTTATTAGTAGGATTACTGATTATATTATCTTTTCTACAAACAACTGTAAACCTGATTTTGCCCCACCCTGTATATTGTGCTGAGTTTTATAATCTGGCAGGAAAACAGGTACACTACCAGTTATTCCTATTTTTAAACAATGAATTTTCAGTTGTTACATGTTTTCTGAAAGTTTAGTATTGGAGCAATTTTCAATATTTTTCATCCTATGGACCACATTAAACTAATTACTAAAATTTTGCAACACATCTAAAAATGTATTTTTTGCTGATCTGACAAAATAGAAGTAACTTTTATTCATTCACACCGGATGGCTGTTATGTTGGCTGTTGTGGTTTTTTATTTGACTATCTAAGGAAAAGAGGTCAGTGCTCCTGACTAAATAGTCAGGTATTAAATGTTTTAAAAATTCTTGCAGCATAGTGGTTGAAAAGTCACTGGTCTATTGTATTGTGGTGGTTTAAAAAAATGTACTAAACAACATTACCTCTATATCACTATAGTATGTAAGATTAATATATCACATTTGGGGTTATTATATATATTTCTATTTGGCAGTAATCTATTTTTAGCCTTTATTTTTTTTTTAATAATCCTCACCTGAGGATATTTTTCCATTGGTTTTTAGAAAGTGGAAGGGAGAGGGAGAGACAGAGAAAAACACTAATGAGAGCGAGCCACATTGATTGGTTGCCTCCTGTATGCCCCTGACCAAGGCCAGGAGCCTGCAACCAAGTACATGCCCTTGATTGGAATCAAGCCCATGACCCTTTAGTCCCCAGGCCAATGCTACATCCACTGAGCAAACCAGCTAGGGCTACTTTGGGCTTCTTTTTTTCTTTCTTTCTTTTTTTTTTAACACTGTTCTGTAGAATTATTTTTGTGTATTGGTTAATTTTTAAGTTTGGGCTTCAAGTTCTAAATAGTTCTGTAGATCATCATTTGTTGTTATAGTGCTTCCTCAAAAGAATAAACTAGTTAATAATGCCTTCATTTCTTCATACTTGTCTAATTGTTAAGAGTATCTACTTGTTATAGTTTAAGAATTATTCTTCATTGTTATTCTTTTTTATAAAAAGATTTTAAAATTTGAACTAATATTTAGTTTGTTCTTGTAATTCTTTTGTTTAACTACCTGGTTGCTTGTTACGTGTATCATTCCTGACAGGAAGATATATTTAAATGAAAATAAGACACAGAACTATGTATATTATACTGCCTGCTATTTGTGTAAACATATATTTACGTACGTGTATATGCATTGATTATCATCTCAGGGTGATACGTTACCTATGAAGAGGAACTAGAAGACAAAGGCATGTGAGAGAGACTTCACAATGTACCCTTTTGTATTTTTGTGCTGTGTGCATTTATTGACCATAAAAAAATAACACGTAATTAAAATAAATCTGATAAGATGTATCAGTCGTTTAAACTTTTAATTTTTTATTTTTATAGGTAATTCATAAAGTATTCCTTAAGAAGTAAGTGCTCTTTCCGCATTTGTTTATATTTAGATGTATATGTATCCATGTCAGTGTATAAAATTCTTGTTTTAAACAGCTGCAGGATGTTCTTATATTTAGATGTATATCATACTTATTTAATTGACCTCTTACGGATGGAAGTTTAGGCTGTTTGCAATTGTTTGCTGTTTAATATGTAGTCGGTATTCTTTTACATAATTCTTTTTGTAGATATATGAGTACATTTCTAAAATTAAATAAATAGAACTGCTGGATTGAAGAGGATATGCATTTATAATTTTAATAGACTTTTGTTAAGTTGCTCTCAGTAAAAATTGTGTTAATTTATATTCCCACCAATATTGTTTGTTTCCCACAGCCAAACCAATAATTTATCAAACCTTTAGGTCTTTGTCAATCTAACAGATGAAAATGATTGTCTTATTATATTTATAATTATTTTATTGGGAAGTTTAGCGCCTTTTTGTGTGTTTGAGAGCTATGTATGTTTTCTAAAAACTTTATGAACATCACCTTTACACACTTTTCAAGTTGGATATGTTTTTCCTGTTGATTTGCAAGAAGTCTTTGTAATGGTAACCATCCCTTTGTGATACGAGTTGTAGGTACTTTTTGCTACAACTAGTTTATCATTTTTTTAAAAATATATTTTATTGATTTTTTTACAGAGAGGAAGGGAGAGAGATAGAGAGTTAGAAACATAGATGAGAGAGAAACATCGATCAGCCGCCTCCTGAATATCTCCCACTGGGGATGCACAGCAACCCAGGTACATGCCCTTGACCGGAGTCGAACCTGGGACCTTTCAGTCCGCAGGCCAACGCTCTATCCACTGAGCCAAACCGGTCTCGGCTAGTTTATCATTTTTTTGACCTTGCTTATAGTGACAGCAGTTGTCATTTTGATAGAAATGTTTGCTTTTTATGTAGTCATACTACTTTGTTTTTATATAGTCACATTCATTCCTTTTTGATGGCTTTTGGATTTTCTTCTAATGTTTTGTTTCATTTTTTTTCCTGTGTCTATATGGTTATTCCCCTGTTACATTTTAAATATTTGTTTGCTCTTTTAAATTTTTGCTTTTAAAATTGTATCTACTGTAAATCCTCCTTACTCAAAGATTCTGGGTTTACAAATTTGCCTACTTGCTAAAATTTATCTGTAACCCCAGGATCAGTATTTCTGGCACTTTCGCTATAATTCATGGACAGATGCAGAAAGGTGAAAACTTTGAGTCACCTGACGTAGATGTTCCCAGCTGATGTTGAGCAATGCTGTTTTCTTGTTTCAGTACTCATACTATAAACAAGTGTCCTTTCACAATCTGAGTGCTACGTTTTTGTGCCTTTTGATTTCACACTTTAAAATGGCCTTTAGACATTATGCAGGAGGGTTATCTAGTGTTTCCCAGGTACAAGAACTCAGATGTGCCTTGCAGAGAAAATACATATGTTGGTTAAGCTTCATTCTGGGCGTGAGATATAGTGCTGTTGGCTGTGAGTTTAGTGTTAATGCTTCAATACTATCTATTAATAATGTGTTTCAATGGAAACACATAAAACAAGGTTATTTATCTATTGGTTGATAAAAAAGCCATCACTTCTAGGAGTGATGGCTTGTATTTATAAATTCCATGTTTGTGGTGACTTTTTAGAACGTAACTGCCGTGAATAACGAGAGTCACCTGTATTTCCTTTTAATTCGTTTTACAAATAGTATACAGAAACATAGAGATGTGATAAATAACTGTTAGTAATTTTAATGAGGATTCAAGTACAGCAAACCCAAATTGTTTTTAACACATGATTTTGATCGTTTTGTATATAAGACATCAAATACCAGTGCTCCTTAAATTTTAAAAAAATATTCTTGCCCATTTACTCTTCCAAATGAATTTCACAATTAGTTTATTTAACTATTCCATAAATATAGAAATTAGTATTACATTAAGTATATTAGCATATTTTTATTCTAGTTTTATTTACCTTGATGAGTATATCGCTTTCCATTTCCTCTCTTCTTTATGATTTTATAAGAAAACAGGTTTTTAAGTTTCATAATTATATCTAGACTTTTTTTCTTTCAAATTAAGGTGCAGCTCTCTCCCAAGGAGAAGGGTGTTTTGATATGCCCTGGTCGATGTGAAACGTTTTCATCTTTTCTTCATGAGCACTTGGTTGAATGGCACAATCTTCTACATTCACCTTTGTCATATGTGACTTGTGCTTAAGTAACCAGCCAGGTATTTGTAGGGAATAACCAGTTTGAATAACTGAACAATGGAAATGTAATTAAAAGAAACTCAAAGTCACATATAGTGCAGAAAAGTCAATCTGTCAACACATTTGTATATTGTAACTTTCTTAGTATGTTAAGCTTTTTACTGATGCCTTTAAAAATAAATGATAAATATTTTTTAATCTTGACTATCTGAATATTTTTCTTTGGAATATATATGGCTAAGGGTAGAGTGTGTAGAAAGAAAACTACTGAGGGTAAAGGGGGTAGTATTATAAAGATACAACCAAGTATAAAACCATGTTAATGAGAATCCATGGTTAAGAAACCCTAGCTGAAGCTGAGTGTCACAAGGACTGGGCCCAGCCAATCAGGAACCAAAGCTGTATTGTCTCTTGAAAGTCATATTGTCATTTTCCTCCTTGCACCTTCTCTTGTCTGACTGCCCCTCTCTCTTCTGGCCTCCTCCACGTGCTCATCATGCACACACCTAATATGGTTAGCCAAGCTATTCTCTCTTCATCTCCACCTTGTAGTTCCACCTCTCATTCATTTGACTATATCTCTATCTCTCCATTCAAATCCTTAGGAAATATTGTTTCAGTTTAGTCTAAAGTTTGGTGTCCATGGCACCTGGGGTATTTTCTAGTCTGTTTAGCTGCAGAAGATGTTAATATATAAATGCTATTTCTTTCTGAGGTTTTGCATGGGAAAACCAAATATGCCCAGCATAACCGTACACATTTTTTTGAATAAATGAATATTGTGTGTTACATAAACTTTGCAAAATGGGTTGTTCTATGGCTTAAGCTTTCTAGTATAGGTTAAGTGGCTTTTTACCATTTTTCATCACAATCAGCCAATGTTTTATATATTTAGCATATTTTAATTGCCCAAATATGTGCCAGATTAAATTGAGTTATGAAGGCAGCTTACTTGCCTTCTAAGATATTTTTGGATATTATCTCCCTTAATACTTAATAATTGGAGAGTGGTCAGAGGTTCAGGAAAGTCATTTATTTCAGCAAATCTTAATTTACTTATGTTTTGGAGTTTTTCTTTTTTTTAAATATATATTTTATTTATTTTTTACAGAAAGGAAGGGAGAGGGATAGAGTTAGAAACATCAATGAGAGAGAAACACCGATCAGCTGCCTCCTGCACGCTCCACACTGGGGATCGAGTCGCCCAACCTAGGCATATGCCCTGGCTGGGAATTGAATCGTGACCTCTTGGTTCATAGGTCAACACTCAACCACTGAGCGATGCTGGTCGGGCTATTTTTATTCTTTAATATATTTTCTATTTCAGAAAGGAAGGGAGAGAAAGAAACATCACTGATGAGAGAGAATCATTGATTGGCTAAATCTTATTTAACTTTGTGTGCTAGGCACTATTCGAGTTTCTTAGGACACAGCAGTGAACAAGACATAACAATTACTGCGTATAGTGGTGGGAACTTTATAAGGTGGCAGATAGTGATACATGCTGTAGAGAAAAGTGA